ATATATATATCATCCAGTCGGATTCGATGCATATTTGATCTGCATTTGATGTTTTGATATATATATATATATATATGAAGTAAAAGTAATAAGCAGCCTCTCCTAACGTTGGCTCAAGTTGAGCTCATTTAACAGCAGTTTAGCAACGTCTCAAAAAGAAGAAAAAACATACAAAGATGGTGTGATAGAGACTGGATTTAAATTTAGTTAGAAAGTGTGTGATTATATGCTAAATACGAATACCTAGATGCTTATTTAATGTTTAGTTATTAATATTATTAATATTAATATTATAATAATAATTAATAATAATAATAATTAATAATAATAATAATTAATAATAATAATTAATATTAATAATAATATTAATATTATTAATATTGTTATTAATATTTTGTTTTGTTTTTAGAATTGATAAAATTTGAGTTATTAACGACATTTTGCTCCATCTGTTATCCTTTCTTTTCGCTATGTGTTAAAGCCACCTTTTATCACTTAATCGCAATTTCATATGTTCACGAAAGAAGTGCTTTATTTGAGGAAGAATTGGCATGAATAGCCTTGAAACTCTTCTTGATGAACCTACTTATTGAATCCTCTATTGATGACTGCTTCAATACGAGGTCTGAAACGTTGGCATGCCTGAAACAGATACTCTTTATCTATTTTGGACATTGTGTGAGTTATAGCATTCATCAGAGATTTTATGGAGGCGTTCGTTGATTGACTTCCATATAGTCTACGCCCGATATGTAGTAGTACAATGGATTCAGGTCTGGTGAGCTCGGAGACCATATGTTTAAAATGACGTGATAATGGAGATTGTAACTCATCCATTATTGGGTATTTTGGTCTTATGAGACGGCGAAGAGTCTTGTTTGCACGGTCTTCTTTTCCTTCGCTCTCTATCTACAGTCTCACGGCCCACTCCAACATCTCCTTATAACCAGCAGGATTGACCCTTAAACCCTAAGTTAAGAAGTAAGGAACCATAACATCTCCCTCGTTGCTCATGACTCTGTCGGAAACTTTATGTCCACTTTTGAAACGTCTTCAGAGTCTCTGTACAACCATTTGTCATTCCTTCGGTTGAGCGTTTGATCCTGGTCAAAGATTGAGAGAAAGACCGAAGCATTACAGATTCTTGTTGTTTCAATGGCTCAAGCAATGGTGTAGTCTGCATGGACATGATGAGATCTGGAGCTAGAGGCAATTCTGCTCCTTCTTCGGCGGTACTTACTCCAGCCGAAGTTTTAACGATTGCCAAATAGTGATACGGCTGATTCTGAAGGCAACGAAGATGATGAGTTCCGACCTGAAGAGTTACCTGATGGAGCTTGTTTTTGACCCAGGGGTGTATTGGTCAATTCCGATAGTGACCAGGCTACTGTCCGACCAACTGAGGTAAGAACTCGTCTTAGTAACAACTATTACACTTGGGTGGGTTCGATCCTAGCCAGTTCCAATCTCCCATCATTCAGACACTTTTTTTATTTTATTTAAAGTTGTTTTTTTTTTAATTAATAATGATTGAAACTACACTATGCATGTTTTTTAAAGTCTTTGAAACGGGGTTCAATTCTACTTAGATTTCACTTTCCAGAAACTTTTAGTTTTTAGTATTCTTTTTTTAAAAACCTTATCTGTCCTGTCTTATAATTCTGTTATTTTTATTCAAGTTTTTAAGAGCAGACAATTTTTGAGGATTTGTTTTCTTCTTCGGAGTTGATTCTTTAATTATTATTTGGTCTCTACGCATCATATATGACTTGTATCGAAGGTCCTCATGCACAATTCAGTGCTTTGAATCTCTGAGCATCTTAACTTTTATATAGGAATAAAGTGTCGCTGAGTTTGAACATAGATTGCCAGTGAGCAAACACAGGCGAACCCATTATTGAATCAAGTGACCTTAGGAGAATGTATAAGTAGATAGTAGCTTGGCATTTAATTGATCACCATTTTTACACTATCCTTTGTTACTATACAGATCACCATTTCTAGTCTATTCTCTATAGTGTTCACTATACTACGCTATTCGGTGGTTACCTTCCGAGCGAGAATTATCGAGCAAGTACTATAAGTGCGAGTGTTATTCGAAGATGTCTGACACCAGTATTGTTCAACGGCGTTACTATAGTTGTATCTGCGATTACAAAGTCTCTACTACAATGAGCATTACGAAAGTGACAACGAGTATTCGTTGACATCACAAAATTAACAATGGTGGTAATTGACTTTCTAGGGTTCTTATCGATAATCTTTTTACGTTTCTCGTACAAATTCGTGTTTTGATGGTATTAGAACCATTAGCTGGGTTTTTACATTTGGCTACTGATGTGCAACTTTCAGGAAGCCAGCGGTTTTTTAATCACTATGCTCTCCCTTCAAGGCCACAATTCCAGCGTGCCTTTTTTATTTGCTGAGTTAGCTTGTCATCATTTATCTGAAAAGAAATGATACTCAGAACTAGTTAGAACTATTAAAAGATGTGTCCTCAAAGAACTGAGCAACCCTGTATAGTGTGGACAAAGAAATCAATGTAACATAGTGATTGGCAGTTTCAAATCTCAAATGATTATCCAATATGAGATGGCTCATAGTCTTGTTGCTCAGTGTATGGTAGTCCTTTGTTCACACTTTATATCCAAGGCCTCATAACCCTCTTCAACACCTCCTTATAACCAGCAGAATTGACCCTTAAGTCCTGAAGAAAAAAGTGGGGAGGTGTGACATGTTCCCCATTGCTCACAACTCCCGGAACAACCACATTTGCCATAAAATTGTGCTTGACCTTTGGAACATCTTTAGGATCTCTGCATAAACATCTGACATTTTTTTTGGTTTATCTTTTGCTGCTGATCAAAGTTTTTCTCATCAAAGAAAAGCCAAAGCATTCCAGACTACTGATGTTTCAACATGCTCAAATGCTTTGTGTGGAAACAATATTTATCTTTGCTGTTAAGAATTGGCCTCTGTGTTTATGACTTGTCTTGATACACAATTCATCCAATAGAGTACATTGAAAACTTGAGATCCTTTGCAATGGGGTTCTTATCAATAACTTTCTGTGCCTTTCATACAGATTTCGGTATTCTGATTGTATTAGGACCCTTAGCAGGTGTTTTACATTTGGCTACTGCTGTAGAATCTGTTCCAGCTCTTTGAGAAATATGACAACAAACAACCATGCAACTTTCAGGCAGTGAACAATATCTAAATCACTATGCTCTGCTTTTAAACCAATTATTACAATATGACTTTTCATTTACTGAGTTAGGTTGATTCGTGTCATCCTTTTACCTGAAAAGAAATGATAATCAGAACAAGTTAGAGCAAAAGTTAACGCTATTAAAAGTCCTGAAAGAACTAATCGACTCGGTATTTCCTCTCTTATTTCTCTGATACATGTTGACCACTCTTTTGCCGTTTAGTGTTATCTACTGCCTTACACTTTACGTTAATATTTTCACTTTTATTCAGTCAGTCAGTTATTTGCCATGGGTGATATACGCTTAGGCGATCATGTATCTTTCCATACATGACTGACGAGGCAGATTTTCCCCACAGTAGGTTGCCATTTCTTTCTGCGGTAAACCAGTTGCCATCCAAGGCTACAGAACCCGGTCTGTCTTGCTATTTACCCATAGCTGATGGGAAAAGAAGAGGATTCATACCGTTCTCAAGGGCATTAGCACGTAAGTGAATGTAATGGATTCGGCTGGAATTCGAACTCTGCTCTCCTCAATCCGAGCCGCTATGCATTACACCACCACCTCTCTTTTATTATCAAGTGATTATTTGAATCATTTACATTATTTACATTCGAACTATCGACCTTCATCATGTATTTCGAAACGGATACACTACAAGGAATTCCGAACTGAATATTTTATTTAATCTACGGGGATAGACTTTTCTCATTCTTGGTTCACATTCGTTACTTCCAGTAGGTTAGAGCTCCACAGTCTAAGACAGGCCATTCCACCTACATTGTGACAAACCATCCCCATGTCCTTTTGTATCCCACTGATAAGGAGGACGTTCTATTCGGACACTTTCTTTCCAAGAACCGTTACTTTGAGCAGCAGACTCCTGAGAGTATGCTTCCCCGATCCTTACAATCTTAAGATCCAGGGTGAAGCGTTATCTATCCTACTTAAAATTTGCACTTCTCGCCTTCTGTTATAGTCTGGTTTCTTGTACCAAGGTGATGGTCCAAGGTAGAACAAATAAAGAAGAACTCGAACACGGATATGGAATAACACAGATATATTACAAACAGGAATATATACAGAGAAGTAGAAAGTGTTAGTACGAACAATCAAGTTTAGTAGTAATTGTCTGAACGCGACTCTGTTTCGGTCTGCCTCTGACTCGACTGACTGACTCGCTCTGACTGACTGACAGACTCCTGACGGACCTCACTCCAGATTTCAGACTGAACTTCACTCCCTGCTTCCTATCGAGGCGCAGTATTTATTACGTATGGAATAGTCCATTATATTATTATGGGTAAGGTCCCATAACACCTTCTCGTCTTACCCTCATAAACAACGTCATTCAGTAACACTCTACTTTGCGTGGCTCTCGGGTCGTGGACGAACAATTAGTAAAAAGGCTCGTATGTCTGTGATGACAATACCCAGTGTCTTTGCATATTTTATTTTAGCAAAATAAAGTGGGGTTTTTTGAAGATTGTTTCTTTTTTATTTTTTTGCAACTGGAGAATTCTGATTTGAAAACCAGCATTGAAGAGTTCAGCTTTCACTTCGGTGGTGGAACACAGGTTGGGAGAAAATACGCAAGTATCTGAACCATCAAGCAGTCATGACGAGATCAACTCAAATCGAGTGGTCTGGCGGAGTAAAATCAAAAGAGCAAAAAAAAAAAAAAAAAAAGGAAAAAAATAATTTGTGTTTGCTGTGTGAGTCTATGGGATGGGAGGGGCCCCACTGACCAAATGTCACCCAAACGGGGTGGTCTGTGCTCTAGTGGCAATGATTCGCAATCTGATAGCCCTGATAAATCCAGTCGCCAATTTGCAGAGGTTTGTTCTTGCCGACGTTAGCGTGTGTTTAAGCAGAACCTGATAGGCGAAAAGCATCGAAGACTAACAATAAAAGTCGCATTCCGGCCACGACGAAGCCGATAAATCAGAGTCCCTTCCCTTCCTTGTCAAAGGGTTGAGTCTGGAGTAGCCGCCATTGCCGTCTCCCTATCCCTAAATGATTGACTTCTTTGGCTTTCCTTGCTAAAGCGCCTCCTTGTTGTTTCCCGCCGTTTATGACGCCATATTAAATTTCGCCTTTTTTCACTGCTGCTCTTTATTTATTCCGACACCATTCTCGTTTTTGCTTTGTTTTTATATTTTTTGACAACACCCACTCATTCTTCCGGTTTGTAAGGAGTTCTTCCCATTTTTTTTTTTTTTTTTTTTTGTTTTCGTTTTTTTTTTCCCCATCTTATTCTCCTTTCTTCTGTTCGTTAAAGTTGTTATTTATTTAGATCTTCAAAAAAATTTTCTTTCTTTTTCTTTTTTCTTCAAAAGACCGCAGAACTTCTCCCTATTTCCTTCTCGCGTCTTTCTGTTCTCTTCTTTCTATACTTCAATCTTATTCGCCCCTTTCCTTTGTCTTCGCCCTTTCCTTCTCTTTCTTTCTTTCTTTCTTTCTTTCTTTCTTTCTTTCTTTCTTATTTACAATTGTTTCTTTCTCTTCCTTTTTTTTCTTGCAACGTTCTTTCTTTTTCCTGCCTCATTTTCTTCCTTAATTCTTTCTCATCTTTCTCTTTCTTTCTCTTTCATTCTTTCTTTCAACCGTATTCGCTCTTTACTTCTTTTTGCCCTTTCTTCTTTCTTTCTCTCTTTCTTTCTTTCTTTCTTTCTTTCTTTCTTTCTTTCGAAATTTCATTTACTCATTTTATCTGTATATTAATTTCCGACACTTTTAAAATCCCATTCTCAATCCTTATTAGTTCTCTACCTCCTCCTCCTCCTCCTCCTCCTCCTCCTCCTCCTCCTCTCTTTTCATCTATATATGGTTCGAATTTCAGCTGAAACATCTTACGTTCATTATATTAATATCTTTAGGAAATGCATCTACGAAGTTCTAACCTGTTAGTTATCCCCGGTCCTGGGTATGACGATAAACTATATCAGGCAGCAAGGCCTCTGATCGGGAGATTAGAGGTTTTGAGCACTGTGGAACCACTGCTACAAGAAGCAACAAAAGCTAAATTACATATACAACCTTATAAAATAACGCCTTATAAAAGAATATATCTGTAAAATAAATACAAAAAAGAAAAAAAGAATCTCTCTGTATTTCTGAGATGAGGGACTATATACATTATTTACATTATTCGGACTATTGTCCTCATCTTTTTTTGCCATATTTATCACAACGTTTCGGCCGTTGTACGCTTCGGCCTTCTTCAGGTGGTTGGAATGTCGAACTGAACCCTTTATTTCGCTCACTGGAGTAGACTGTTCTAGTTCCACGTGCCATATTTTTAATGGATGTCAGTTATCAGTTATCAATTTTCCGTTCGACATTCCAACCACCTGAAGAAGGCCGGAGCGTACAACGGCCGAAACGTTGTGATAAATATGGCGACAAACTATCTGATTCGTCGTGAAATGACCCTTGTGTCGGTAAAATAACCCAGCTGAATCTAAATCCAAACTATCCTGTTATCAAAAATGTTTTGTTAGTGTTATGCCACGATGTTTGACATAATAGAAAGTTGATAAGTAGCAAAATGCTCTCTAGTAACTCTGTCATGTAGGGATCAATATACACTGCGTGCCAAATTATTATCGAGATAACTTTTTTTTCTAATATTTCAAAAACCGTCCAATCAATTCACACAAAATTTTCACCCAATGTTGGCAACACTGATCTGCGCAATCACTGAAATTTTTGTACTGATACTGCGCAATGTAAACAAACTGGCGCCATATTTGTCATCATCACGGTGATTGAGCGTGCCAAATTATTAGAAAAGTGTAAGAATTTAGTGAAAAGATGGGCCGTAAAAGCAGTTTAAGTGATGCTAAAAAGAAAACTATCACCTCAGAACTCTCAAAAGGTAAATCTACCCTAGAAATTTCTAAAATGATAGGCAGGTGTCATCAAACAGTGAAAAAGTTCACCGCCGTCCGTACACAAGTACGCAATAGGGTAGATACAGGCAAGCCGAGGGTTATTTCACGTCGTCTCATGTCACGACTTAAACGAGAGGCCACGAAAAACCCTGGATTTACCAGCGAATTATAAGCGAATTTTAGACTCCAAAATTCGCTTGAGGATGAAATGGAACTAATGTCTTTAATCTAATTACAAAATTAAATTCGGAGCTTTTAGCTTCCATTTTTGAAACATGGTTAGAACTGTGTAGCGAAAAAAACATATTTTAAATCAATTAATTTATAATATTAGTGCTCTGTAAATTTACATTGAGCACTATTTTGTAAAAATAAAAATATCTATGAGAACACCGGATTATATATCTTACTGTTCTTTCTTTTTATTTACATATATATATATATATATATATATGAAGAAATATAGCTTTAAGGTGTGGTATATTTATGGGATAAAGTGCTCAATATCAGAGATAAAGCGTATGTATACATAAAAGGGAACATTGAAGTCAACATTCAGAAGCAACATGTGGCCTGATGATTGCGTCTAGCATGAAACAATCTGTCGCCTCTGAGTGTTGATTTCAATGTTCACTATATATATATATATATATATATATATATATATATATATATATATATATGTGTGTGTGTGTGTGTGTGTTTTTTATATATAATATATATATATATATATATATATATATATATATATATATATGTATGTATGTATGTGTGGAGGGTGTATATATGGGTGTATCATCACTGCTAGCGCTTTTGCATATGCATTAACCCTGTTTTACTCGGGTGAATTGGGATGCAAGATTATATTGGTCTAATTCCTACATACAACTCTCACATATGGCTCCAAGCAGTTACATGGACCTAGCAACGGCTAGACACTGGTCAACAGCATCGACTGTGTGACGGCAGTCGGAAGAGTTTTCTGACCAGACCGGTAAAGGGGAACCTACCTTTGTCAAGCGGCTAACGGACAGTCGCCAGACTGGGCGTAGGAGCTGGACCTCAGAGGTCAACGGTTTTACAAGTTGGTGGAGCCAGCTTCTGATAGGAGGATAGACCGGCTAATCTCAACATCCCCGGTGCAAAAGGAAATGGCAAAGCCATTGCACTATTTTGTCTTGAATGTCACCATGAACCCCAAAAAAACAGAAATAGCGGAGAAGTGATGGCCACAGAGGCGCAAAATTCTGTGACTGAATAAATGAATATATATATATATATATATATATATATATATATATATATATATATATATATATTATGTGAGTGTGTGTGCGCGCGCCCGTGTGTGTGAAAGTAGACACTGAGGTCGACAAGGAGAGACAGTTTGCTTCATACTTGATCGCAATATTTAGGCTATGTGTGTTGTGTTTTGGCTCGACTATTTATTTGTCATCAACATGGTTACGTGGTAACGGTTGTTTTTTTAAATTATTCTAGATGCAATTGAAGGAATACGGTTATGTACACTATTTACATTATTCGGACTAGTGTCCTCATCTTTGTCGCCATGTTTATCCCAATGTTTCGGCCGTTGTACGCTCCGGCCTTCTTGAGGTTGTTGGAATGTCGAGCTGAACCCTTTATTTTGCTCACTGGGGTAGACTGTTCTAGTTCCACGTGCCATGTCTAATGGATGTCAGTTATCTCCTGTTAATACCCCTCTGAGAGTTCTCCACTGCCTTAACCGGGTATTGAACTCACACTCTTTGGGTCCTGTCACTGGATCTAACTAACGCCTTTATCCATTGTGTCATGAAAGAGTGTGAGTTCAAAACCTGGTTAAGGCGGTGGAGAACTTGGAGAGGAGAATTAACAGGAGATAACTATTATTGCAGGTGTTGAGCTAGATGTGATTAATGTTCCCGTTCATCGAATTTACTTACTGGTCCAGTTTATTATAGGTGTTCGCAATACTTTATCTATCAAAGGGGTTTCTGTATTACTTGGCAATGATTTGGTTGGTAGGTAAGTCGTAACGGAGCCTAATGCCTCAGACATATTGCATTTTGATAATGATTGTGATTAAAAAAAATCAAAACATATATCCTGCTTGCGCTGTTACGAGAGCAAAATCTAAAAAACAAACTGAAGATGATACAGAAAATCTCATCTTCGGATGAATTTATTAAACTGAATGAGACACTTATGTTTCATCAGGCCGAAAACGAGTTGGGAATTAAAAATATAAACTTCAGTTTAACGAATGTTTATCCTTCGTAAACTCTTCCGACTGCCGTCACAGTTTAGCCGACGAAGTCGATGCCGTTGACCAAAATAAAAATACTCTTCCCTTTCAAAAGTCTAGAAAAGAAAAATGGTTTTCTGAAAACACTGATATTAATTTGTTAGATTACGTACCAAAGTTTATGAAAATGGTGTATTCAAAATCGCCCAGGAAAATTTAAAACATTTCTAAAACAAAATAAAAATTAAGAAAGATATAAAATACAGAAAGGAGAAATTTTAAACCAGGTAACATGTTTTAGTCTTTTTATCCCCGCCAAGCAATCCTCTACAAGCAAAATATTTTCAGTTGTTATTTAATACAAGTAAAAATTAATGGTTTGAATTATGTTGTTCTCACCCCAGAGCAGCGTAAAAATAAAAGAATATGCAATATTAACCTGATAAAAAATTACATTAAAAGAAATAATTGCCTAAATATTAAACCAATGGTGCGTGGCTGAGATCGGAAAACGGATTGGGATGGCCAAGGATGCATTCCAAAAGCTGGGTAGACTATTACAAGACAGGAGGATTTCTTTGGTAACAAAGAAGAGAGTACTGAGCTGCTACATGACATCTGTCCTTCTACACAGCAGCAAATGTTGGACGGTTGCCTCAAAGATGAAGAAGAGACTCGAGACAGTAGAGATGTGGTTCTACAGAAGGATGCTACGGATATCATCGACCGAGCGTGTGAGCAACGATGAGGTCTTGGAGAGGATGTAAACAAGGAGGAAGCTTATGCTTAAGGAAGAGGCAGATGAAATTTCTGGGATACGTAATGAGAAAGGGGGGCCTGGAGAATCTGATACTCACAGGTCGAATAGAGAGGATAAGAGACAAGAGAAAGCAACGCATGGCATACCTGGAGGGCTTAAGCAAGTGGATGACAGAACGTGGTCTGAGGATGTTGGCAGAGGCACAAAACTTATTGAGAGCTACAAGTGATAGGGGGGGGTAGTGGAGAGCCATGACCACCTACGTCCTGAACGGACACGGCACATAAAAAGTAAAAGAAAACCATCTCGATCTTAGCTAATATCATAAATTATTTTGAATGTCATCAAGTTTACAAAATAATGAATTGATACGTAATTTAGATAAAAAATTAAAACAAATATCTCTCAGTAAAAGAAAATAATTTTTTGCTTTGGTTAGTGAGTTCAAAAGTCTTATTTTTCATCCAATTCTTGTACACACTGATCACGACTTTTTTTTTTTAAGATGGCGAACAAAAATCATAGACTAACAAGGTGGAGTCTTCTTCAAGAATATAATTTCCTTATTAATCACATTAAAGGAAAAGTTATAGCTGATGCACTTTCTACAATTTAAATTTGTCTATACCTTCTTGATGCTAATAAATTTCAACACCAGAGAAATTTTAGATTAAATATCATATTTTATTCTTTAAAATTGTTCAAAATGTCATATTTTATTCTGTGAAATGATTTGAAAATTTGTCAATGTTCATGTTAAACTTTTTTATGAGAGAAGGTGTTAAGCGAATCTATTTTTTTATGAGGGAAGGTGTTAAGCGAATCTATTTTTTTATGAGGGAAGGTGTTAAGCAAATCTATTTTTTTATGAGGGAAGATGTTAAGCGAATCTATTTTTTATGAGGGAAGGTGTTAAGCGAATCTATTTTTTTATGAGGGAAG